CCTATCTTGGTTTACGAGTTAGTTCTGAGAACATTGATCTGTTTTTGCTCTCGAACAATAAGCCCGTTATGTCGGTTACGTATCGACAATCCAATAAAAACAAATGAAGAGTACATAAAAATTAATGACATTATTATCGTATAATTGTATATTATACATAATATTATATTGCATATTATACATAATTGTACATATAATTGTATATTATACATAACAATAATATTATACATAAGAATTATTCATATACATATTATTGCATAATTCTATTACGCATATAAAACTGATTGATATATGATTATTCATACAATTGCCGTCCTAATAAGCATGTTTCTGGAAAGAAATACAGGGTTTCCCGGAAAGAATCGTCCGATTTGAAAAATTTATATTTTAAAAAATTACACACAGAAAATTATAATTCACACACGAATATAACGGGAAAATGTGTGAGTTTTTGTTTACAAGTGTTCAATATGACTTCCTTTCGTTACACGTATGATATCATTGCGATATGAAAGTTCCTGCCAAACACGGTGTAATGTATCTCTGGTAATTGTTTCTACAGCATCGCAAATGCGTTTCTTCAGTTCATTTACACTTGCAGGTAAAGGTGGTACAAAGACAAGATCCTTCACAAATCCCCAAAGGAAGAAGTCGCATGGGGTTAGGTCGGGTGATCTCGGAGGCCAACTGTGTAGAACCATATTATCGGATGAACCGCGACCAATCCAACGGTTTGGTACATGAGAAAAAAATAATAAAAAGTAAAACTCACACGTTTTCCCGTTATATTCGTGTTTAAATCGTAATTTTCTGTGTGTAATCTTTTAAAATATAAATTTTTGAAATCGCATGATTCTTTCCGGGGAACCCTGTATATCTCGTATCGCGATGGGACACGCCTAAGTGAATTTCGCCGATGTAGTCCGCGCACTGTCCACGCATGGAACGCGTCAACGGCATTGTAGGCAGAGATTTCCCGGCACCGGTCCCGCCATGTTTCAATTGCCCGACGTGTAAGAGGGGAGTAGACAATAATATACAGTTATGTTTGGTCTTTTTCATAATTCCTGCGGCGATATGATCGCCTGGTGGCAAATCCGCGGCTCGCGGAATCCTTGCGGTGACATTACGCGTCGTTCACGAACGGATCCGCGGTTACCGTCGCCGAAGATGCGTGGAAAAAGGCGAGGACTGGTCTTCGGCCGCGATTATGTTCCGATACACGCGTACGGTATCGTTGACACTCGCCAAGACTCCTCACCTGCCCATCAAAAGACGTAAAGTCATCCACATTGGCCAATCGGGGAGCCGGCTAGCATGTAACGAAAAGAGTAACGTCGACGGGCGCGAGGAGGGCGAAGCGCCACCCGGTCGGCCGCGGTCGAGGCATTATTCTTCGGAGATCATGTTCGCCTGGTAGTTACTTGGCGAAATGTGGACGCCTTTCGGGACTGTTTTTCTTGGCACCAGAAGTGTACCCCGGGTGCGTCCAATTATCTGGAAGGGCATGTCGACGGACAGGAGTAGAAGCTTGCTAGACGATGTACAGGGTGTACCAAGAAAAGTGCGAGGCCTTGGACGAGCTGGTTCCCGAGGTGATTTCAAGCAATTCTTTCCTTTGCGAGAATGTTTTACGCGGCTCCGATAACGAGTTATTAACGAAAAACACTGACCAATCGGAGAGCTCGAATTCTGGCGCTATGGCGTGCTACGCATAGCGGAGTGGTGGATTCGTACCGACCACGAGTCATGTACAAGTCTACGATTAATATGAAATTACTGTATTCGAATAAGTAATAACTATACTAGCAATAACTATACTATTATAATATATTATATTATGTAATTAATGTACAGTTTATCGTTAATAACTCCTTAACCACTTAAATGAAACTGACGAGTCGCAAACTCGCCCGCAAACATTTTTTGTATCGAACTTGAATATGACGGGCGACACCTGCTGCATATTTAAATGTTTAAAAATCATCTAAATTTCTTCTAATTGTTAAAAAAACATTATTATGATACATTTATACATTCCTTGCTTTTTTTCTATCTTTGTGTCATTATAGTTTGTGATGTTGCCTCCTTTTTAACCAGTGTCTGGTCATTATTTTGGTAAAAAATTATTTAAATAACGAATCGGATAAAAGATACTTTATCTTCATTCATTGTTCGAACATTCGAATAAGAAAAGAATTTTTATTCGACGAGTGTCGAATAAATAATTTCATTCGACGAGAATTTATCCGATAAGTAAAATTACTTCTTTATTCGAAGTGTCGAACAAAATTTACGATTAACTTTTGCTACCTCGAATAAACGTATGCTTAGCAATAATAAATAATACAGTGTAAGTAGATGGAGAATCAAGTATTATTGACAATTTTAACTTGAAATCGGATGTTTATCATAATATTACGTATCAATAGAAAATGCTCGACTACACTCGAGCTTGGACTCATTTTCCTCGGGAAAAGCTCCACAATTCATTCGTAATACTTTTATGTGAGTATATTAAAAAATGTAAAAGTTTAAATTTTCATTCCTGTGTGGTTCCCTGTCTACTTACATTGTATGCCTTTGGTGAATCGTTAGATTTTTAACATTCGGAACTCGGCGCTCGACATCGCGTTTATTCGAGCTGGCAAAAGTTATTCGAAGATTTGTTCGAAGCCTTTGAATAAAGATGGAGGTAAAAAATAAAAATTTTATTCGACGCTATGGATAAATGCGCTTCGAATAAAAAAAGGACCTTTATTCGTCGAACGAAATTATTTATTCGATGCTCGTCGAATAAAAATATTTTGTCTATTCGAACGTCCAACGTAATTACGCCTTAATCCAACTCGAAACGGTCCGTCGCTTCCGGTAAAGCGCGGTTCGACGGAGGGCGAGAAGCGCCTCGCCGCCAAATAAAGAGAGACGACACAAAAAGTGATTCGTTCTCATGCTAAATTTTCCGAGCCACCTCACAAAAGGAAAACCATAAAAAATCACAAAGAGCGACTTACCATTCTAACGGTAGATGTACAGCCTGGTCGCAATCCGCAAAACACGCTCACTAACCTAAAACGCAATTGTAGTATCGTTGTTCGCGATTAGAGATGTTCGGTATGCGACTTGAGGTCACTCGGCAGTGATTTGTGGCAGTTTTCGACAGCGATCGCTCTGCCTTTCCGTATCCCCACTCTACTCTATACATATTAGGTCTTAGCCCAATGGGACTGTCGCGCGCTAAACTCAAGTTGCAGGACCGTCTCAAGGATAATTACGAGCCACAGGTCGTATCCGATTTTCATCCCTGATCTTAAATAAAAAAATTGTTGTTCACAATAATTTCAATTATGTTAAGAATTTTTTTCTTGATTTCATTTAATATAAGATATTCTTCTATTTTTATTTAATATCAGCACTACTTTATTGATCTGTTCTACTACAAATGAAATAATGTCTACACATTCATATAAATATGTTAAATGCGAATAGCAATATGTTAGTTTTATTTTGTGATAACTTAAATTGCTTGCACACGCATGTTTCTTTGAAAATAAATTGCAAGGCAAGGGGTTAACAAAGTCGTAGATGACATTTTTGCTAAGGAAAACGTTTCTTCTGTCTCAATTCTGAGACAACCTGAATATATTCTAGAATTCTTAACAATTTTTTAGTGCCAAATAATGGTAACAAATTTACAGTTAGCATTAGAATGCTTCTGCCACTAGCATGTTCGCGTTCGTGTGTATTTTAAAAGCGACTCTTCTAATAATTCATTCAAGCCATACCAAAAATGCTTCACATCTTTTATTCTACATAAATTGAAATAGTAGTATGTGGTTAGAAATTTCTATGCAAATGCAATGAATGTATTCTGTTGCAATCTGGTGCTTGTTGGCAGGAACACGCAGCTATGATCCTACCATAAATTAAGCGAAAGTGAAGTAATGTCAAAACCTTTGGTTTCTTTAAAAAATAAGCTGTCACTAACATGTAAACAGAAAATTGTGTTTTGTTCGCTTATATCATTTTTCACGTATCTACTTCATTTCATAGAAACATATTCCTCTAGAGCTCCGTATACTAAACTATTGGGAGAGAATACTGAAATTTCATATTGATTACTGACTTGTACATAACTCGAGCTTGGCGCGAAGCTAACACTACATCAGGCTCAGTGTACATTCTCCTGTTAGAATTCGTTAATTATATTAGCGTTCTAATTGGCCCGAGTTTTTCGTCAATAACTCGTTAACGAAGCCGCTATAAACTTTTTTGCTAAGGGAAAAATTACTTGAAAAGGACTTCGGGGATCATACCTTTCAAGGCCTTACACCTTTTCTGAGACACTCTGTATGAATCGTGGAGGGTCTAGAAGAAATCTACCGTACCTAAACCTCTAGTCGACAAGTTGGTTTTCATTTTTAACCGTTGAAGACATGTTTTAGGGTAAATCACATGTTTTTATTAATCTTTAACTGCGGGCATCCAAATTTGTGACAACAATACAAACACGGAGTCTGTTAAACTCTCACTAAAATATATTGTTTATAATTAATTTTTACATAGAAATTAAATAGAATATGTGTTGCACAATTTTATTGGAAAATACTCCAAAGTTACACATAAAAAACTTACACAGAAAAGGTAACACATTAATAAGCAATAATATTTACAGTAAAGTCAGTCAGACTTTTACTGTAAGACTTTTACACACAGGACGATTACTCCTTATGACAGATGCATTTAGGATTGCAGAAAAGCTATCATAATTAATTTTATCATTCCGAACGCATATAACTAAATTGCGGATTTTATGCATTTATGACAAAAATGGGTAAGAAAAATACAGAGCATTGAAGACACGAGAAGAATTGACGAATATATTGTTATATTAAGATCAGTGCTTCCTGCACTGTGTTGGTGATAGCAATAATATCACAGACGAGATGGCGGTCAGCGTGTAAAACTTCGACAAGTTTAGAAAATGAAAAATAAAAGTCTGCATAAGAAAACTTTAATCTCGTACAAAAATCAGTGACTGTATTTACACGTAACTTTTGGTATTCGCGTTTATTTAAAATACGTCGATGTAACCATGAGCATGAGTAGTCGTTTGTTTTTATCTTATTCTTTTAGCGATTGCACCATACATTCAGTAAATTATATTGTAACAAAATATTGAGCTTTATTTTATTTAAACGATTACATTAAATACATCAAAGTAATAGAAACTTTTATTCCCTCTGATTTGCGTTGTTAATTTGTCGTTAACAATGAACTTGTTTTGATTGAAATATTCTTACGACTTTCTCTTTGCCTCCAAATACCATATATTTTGGATTCAACCAATCGCAGTATGACAATGAGGATTCGTTTCCGAATAGGTCAAATAATGGTGCTTTCGTGCTAGAAAAATCGTTTAAAAATTTTTTAAAACGTTACACATTTTGTTGCACACTTTAATAATGATTTATTTGATTTATCTTACTTTCTGGTGTCCCAAACTTGCATGCTATCACCTGCTGAAATAAATAAATACTCATTCACGGGTGACCACCTAACAGACAGAACTCGTTGCGTCTGAGAAGGAGAAGTGAATAATGTTTTTAAAAGTGTGCCCTCTAAAAGAAATTGCATTCAATTTGTAGAATTTACAATAACTGATAAATAATTTAAATTCAAATTCTGAGCTTACCTGTGTATCTCGGGTCGTACAATCTAATGTGCCTGCCGTACGATGCTGTTATTACAAAGCGACATAAAGGTGAATAATCTATGTCAAAAAACCTGTCGTGACCAATAAGCTCGTGTTTAATTTCACCTAATTCCGTATCCCATATTATTATCCTGTGGTCACGCGAGCACGTTATAATTTCAGTATCGTCCGACCACACTAAACTGCTGATAATGTCTTCATGACCTTCCATTGTTCTTTTGGGTACCTGTAAAATTACAATAGTAAAAAGTACAACATTCATAGCCTATACTTGCGCTTTTCGCATTTATGCATATTAAATTTACTCTTGTTTCACGTCCCGATGTAGATTCGCCGTCTTCGTTTTCATTTTGACTGGCTAAGAATACCAATACAAGGGTAAATAAGCATACTATGCGCTGCTTAGTCTCTTAGAAGATGTTCGTTTATACTCACATGTAGACCAAAGTTTTACCGTGCGATCCTGTCCTGCTGTAGCCATAATAGTCTTGTTGTAATTAACGCTGACCGTTTCAAGTCCATATTTGTGTCCTCTGCATACAAGTATACACTCCACAGAATTCTCCGTGATATTCCAGGACCATATCCTAGCCGTTTCGTCCATCGACGTACTGAACATTTTTATTATAGATACAAATTATTTTGAAAAGATACATACTACTATTTGTGATTTACCTAACAAAACTAGCAGCGTTTTTAGTCCGCGATATCCACGCTAGAGCCGTTATGAGCGCCGTGTGCAATCCAGGAGTTTTGAGATAATGTGTTCCTTTATATGTCCAAATATGCAATGTATTATCATCACAAGCAGTTACTATCCTATTAAAACCATAATTTTGTATGAATATTATGCAGATTATAGATCTATGTTAATAATTTATAAAAATAACCATTTTTCGCAAACTGCAAAAGCGGATACCCAATCATTATGTACAAGATAGCTGTGAGATTCTGGTTCAACATTCGTTGTTTCTTTCGTAGAAACATTTTTATCAACATTTTCAAATTCAATTCCCGTAGGTGGACCAATCCTATCTTTTGCTAGTTCTTGCTCGAGTTCATCAATTTTCTTACATAATATAGTGATCACACGTTCCACATTTGTCTCTGATACAAGACTCAAACTTTTTAGCCGTTTCTTCACCACTGAAGCATATGATTTGACATCTTTTTGAAATTTAGAAATAGGCAAATCATCTAATGTTTTCAATTCCTGTAGTTTCCCTTCTTCTTGGGCTTTAATCATATTTTCTTTGTGTAGGGTAGTATTGCTATGTTTCAATAACTGGCTTCTTCCAGCCACAAGAATTGTACGGCACACGATGCACTTAGCTTTATAAAAATCTTGATCCACTGGTTGTACCCATGTACCAAGTGCAGCATCACAGAACCATTTACTGTGAAATCTTTGCCTCCTATATGTTTTCTTCAGGGTCGGGTCCATACTGGTAGTATTTCCTATTCATAAAATATTCATTATTCCTTAGATTTTAATATATCAATATAACATCAAGTATATATTTTACCTGATTCGCTACAATTGCCAAAATCTGGTGCTTTCTGTTGGAGAGCGCTCGGACCTGGCACTGGAGATGGATCATTCTCCACGGTAGCATAACCGTGATCTGCAAAATATTAATTATTATTTATTTTTAATACTACAATAATGTCTTTATGCATTTCAAAATTAAATGGATATAAAAGTACTAAATACATGGTTTACCTGATTGGTTACCTATATCATAAATTATGAAAACGGGATTGTTATTATCTACTATTTGAGCCATTTCAATACATAACAACGCTAAACAAGTCGTTATGGCATATGGCATTACGTCGTGGTAGTCACATTGCTCTCGGTGGCGTCTCCTGGCGGCGGACTCGCGAGCATCGATAAATTTCGTAGCAACATTATGCTGCAAAAAAATAGTGGACTCTATTTAAATGGAATGGTCAGCTAATTATATACAGTTGAGCTATATGCCAAACTGTCCATAAAGATAACTACATTTTATATCGTATTTCTATAGTACGTGTTTTCGTAAATACTATTTCCACCATTTAAATGTTCGTGCCGTTTACATTTATCGCCTTCAAATAATATTCAGCACTCGTAGTAGAAATGAAATATATGGGATATTCGCTTCTTGCTAATAACGTGCCTATTTCTCATGAACTGTCGGTAACGCTGAGCACAACACGAAATGGTAAAGGGGCTTTAGAGCTCTTCAAAACAAACAAAAAGGCCCATAAGATGCAATGTTTGTAGGGATCCTAAGTTGGAGAGCCTGTACGTTTATCCAAAAAGGAAGTATATCATGATCATTATTAAGAGAAATCTTTTATTCTGCAAAGAAGTACATAAAAAGAATCACGCAGCACACAAAAACGGAGTAGAAATTATTTAGTTAAGAAAAGAACAGCGTAAAAAATCAGCTTCAGTGGACAACATCAGTGCCTTTCTTTAATCGTCGTCGTCGCTGATAATTGCTCGAGATGATCCCGGTTGATCGCGTTGTTTTTCAGCCGTTTCATCCTCGTCGTCGCTAATTATCAACCTAGCGTGTTTCACCTCGGTGCTCTGAGACGTTAATGGGTCCTCTTCCTCGTCGCTGTCCAACAGACGACGTTTTTTCGTTGTTTCACGCTCATCCTCCGAACTGCTCGACCGATTTCTTTTACCCTCGTCTAACAGAAATGTTCATTTAATGAGCAAGAACTAACTAGTGTCCCTTCTTCTATACTATAGTATACAGTTTCTTTCTCTCTTTACCTCCGACGTTTTCTACGTTGATCTCTGTACCGTGATCCTCCCGCTCGGAATCGGAGGAATCGATAAGCAATTTCACGCGGTTTCCACGTTTTCCTTTTCCTTTGGCTGGACTTTCCGTTAATTCTAATGATCAATCAATCCAAATTTATTTCTTAGTGTTCCAACAGTATCATTGTTAACTTTTGACACGTTGACCTTCGCGATGATCGTGATTAGACAGTGTATAAGTCTGTATTCGGAGTAGAAAAACTAATTTTTTCCAATTTTCATGGGTTATTTGGATAAAATCGATTAGAAAAGTTGATTTTGTTAATATTGAAACTACCGAAAACTAAAAGTGACTGACATATGTTGATATATAAGTATCACAAGACTAAATTTATTTTCACTATATTATATATAGAAATTTACTCAATCATTTCTTATGAAAAAGATTTCATAATTTGAACAATTCTAAAATAAAAAAGTGTGGAAACGGTTGTTTGCAAAAGTAAAAACATAATGCTGTTAACTGTTAATTATGTTCTGTGATTTAAATGACAATGTGTATGATTCGTTATTACGAAGATTTCGAATATAAACGGGAATATTTATATTTGTTAAATGGAGATAAAATTCGATTCTTCTATTGTCAATGATTGGTAATTATAATTAGCGTAGACATACAGCATAAATTTTCTTTGTCATATTGGAACTTATATTAACGACAAATATTTACTTAATTAACACAACTGTGAAAGAAATCGTAATACAA